TCAGTTATTTATACAAATTATACATGACTTGCGTTAGAAAATTACAATCCTTTCCTACATGCCAAAGCACTAGTTTCTACTATAAATGACTAACTTTATAAACTTACTAGAACCTGTGTGTTCTAATGCTGTTAGACGCGCAAAATCGAACCCGTTCAAGCCAGAAATAGTATTGATATATTCACCAGAATACAAGATGAACGGAAATGTTAGAAAACTTTTTTCAGTTAAATTAGTCTTTAATGTTTCTTTCCCAACTATATTCGTTAACAGAACGTTTTTTCTTCCAAGTTTTAGTGTATCACGTGCGCCATTTCACTACAGTAACATTACCTTGCAAAACATAGTCCGCGATAAAATGGTTCGTATTTGCGTTTTTACTGAGGTCTGACATTAATAGTTCGTGAAAATGGCCGTGCGTAGTGAGGTGATTGACCACAAAATTGAAGGCTGCCTGTGGCAGAGGCACTATTGCGTAAAGCGCAAAGGCCTCTTGGAAGGAGATTGCGCAATGACACACTATGGCCATCTGACGCATGAGCAGGTGACGACTCTCCCGCTTTAACATGGACCACGTACTACTTTCTCTAAAAATAATAACTACTATCCAGTGGGTATAAACATTATAAAGCCAGTAACTATAAGGAATTATTCGCTTATAATCTATGCTATACATTAACGATAAACACGTCCCGGGGCATGTTGGAAGGTAGCATGTCGATACAAGTATCGCCATAATCGCCATCCAGTCTAAAAAACTACGTCGTTGAGGAAGTCATTCGCACATCTAAATAGACTCCGAATGTGCCAAATAATACTCCACAAAATCACAACTTTCTTTACAATATTAGTCACGTAAGTCATTGTAACTACAAACATCGTCTAGTCGTGTCTTTGTAATACAGCTGAATTAGGTATTGTATTAGATGGTCTACGGGAAATACACACAACACATTTAACTTTCAATTATTTTAAAGACAGTGTCTAGCATTATAGATATAAACAAACATAAACAAACAAACAAGTCATGTCAAGATTTGCGAGCTACACACATGGAGCTCCATGCTAGACACCCCCTCAATCACTTAACGAACCAACCGTGACGAACACCGCTCTGTACACATACAGTACATATACAGTTAGTGGGGGGAATATGTTCCCATATATTCTGCATTGCTACATTAAAACAATATTTGCATAATAGCGCCCATAATATATAATGAAGCAGGGCATCACGGGTATTCTCTGGTTAACTGTACAAACTCCAAAATGGTCACTTTAAAATCTCCTTCCATTCAACATAAACTTCTGCTTCTAAAGTACATATGTTATAGTTTGGGTGTAATTGAAGAATGAATTTTCTGTCCCTATTAAAAATTAGAACTTTGTTTGAGTTTTCACATTTAGTTCCGTTGTTGGAGTAACTCACTGTTTTATGTGATATTTCGCCTATTGTACATTCATGAACATATCACTGATGGGACTGACCGATGGTTTAGTAGTGAATGACTTGTTTGTATGGTACATGGTATTATAATGCTGGATCACAAGGACTGTGGCTGGACATTCCCTTTTAATTGTTTGTTCGACTTTAATTTTAACGCTTTTGAATGGGAGATACTGAATTGTTCGAGTTACGGAAATCGAGTTACGATCGAGCTACGAAAACATCGAGTTAAACAAATGACCACGCACATAA